AATTTGTGTGTTTATGATGTGTGTAGTTTCACGTGAGAGACCTAAGAGAAATGCATTACCTGGCTTGTTACAAGATGGAAGCTAAGAGCCACATATGCAATATCAGACTGTATACCATAACGCCAAGCCTTGCTTGAGGACGGCTCATTAATACTCTTCCACCTGAGATCCTGCATCGCAGAAATCGACCAGTACTTAGACAAACTATATTGCGCGCCCTTTCATACCAGTTTGATAATAGCGAGTGTTTACCATAGTCCATCAACCCGGTCTGCTATCATCTTTCCTTGCGTTGGAATCAGACCAGAACTGCTAAAAGACTTGAAAGCATGTCCTGCCAAAGAAAATAGATATGCGTTTAAGATGAGTGATATTTTAAGAAATAACCGAGTTAAATACGGAGACGCCTAAGTGCTGACCTTTATCTTCATCTGTTTCGCTGTGGTGCATCAGACTTTCAGACTCTGAATCTATGTTGATTGAAAGATGATTCGCCGATCCCTTCCTCGCCATTCTCACTTGCGCTGCTGTAGGCAGAGGTGGTATTGATTGTTTGCCCAAGGCTCCCTGAGCAAAAAAACGTGTTCAGCACAAACTTAGAGATTAAAGCATAGCAAGAGTTTTTGCTTCCAAGATATAACCAATCAAATTGCAGCTTTATTTTATAGCTTTAAGGTCATAAGTTATATGTGGATAGATTTTAAAAATACAAGGACCATTATGACATGGATGGCCTCAAAACTGAAATAGCACAAGAATAAAATTTTACCTTGTCCTCAATCTCGGATATTTCTGAGGTAGAAGGTGCCATGGGTGCTTCGAAGATGCTCTTTTCGTGAACGACAGTAGGCTGTATGGCTTTAATTTGAAGTTTATCTTCAAATTCTTTGACTTTGAATGATAATCTATCAACCATTTTTTCACTACCGGCCAACTTTAGAGCAAGTTCTTGGGCCCTTGATTTTGAACCCTCTGATTCTAGGAGAAGGGAAGTTATTTTTCTCTCTAGCGCTTGTAAGAGTGTCCATGACTCGGAGAAGCTTGAGTCTACAACAGGATCATTGCCCCCCAATATACCCAGTAGTTTCTCGAAGCCAGATATTAGGCTGGACAATTCGGTACTTGTCCTCGCTAACTCTAGCTCGGTTGTGCTCTCTGCTAGAGCCGCCTCCTTCAGACCTTGAATTTCAAGATCCTTTTCTGCCAAGGTAGYATTGAGCTCTTTTTGTTCATATGATAAGAGATCTATCTGACGCTGCATCTCAGTAACACTATCAACAATCGCGAGTAGCTTCTTTACATCATATGGACTCTGTGGAACTAATTCATTGACCGAATCTACTGAAGACACCTCCATACCATTTATCTTCTCAAAAAGGGCACGCATATCAGAAGCTGGAATTATATTTTCCTTTGCTTCTGCAACTCGAAGTAACAGCACGTGATAATTCAGTTAAGTGGTAAAGATGTT